GATTCTCTTCAAATTCAAACTGCCAACTGTCTCACATTCTTATCTCCTCACTGCAGAACACTGGTCTCAGATTCTATCCCTGCAGGGAACTCACTTATTCAGGATAGGAAATGTCTACAGGCATTTAGGAACTACAGATACATAACATTTCTCTGCTTGCTCAAAAGGAGCTTGATCATTTGTGCAAATGATTGACATTTTGTGGGCACTTTTGAGTATGTACTGCCAGGTCTATAGCCCCCTCCCCTTTAACTGCTCTTTGATGTGGCAGGAGAAAGAGAAGATAGGTGCAGTGGATGAAAATTGATGCTATTCACGTCAATTTCTAACAAACTATCAACAGAAATGGATACTTCCCCTCTGGGCTCTCTCCCAGTTGTGGTGTAATAGTAAACGGTGAAGTGCAGGAGGTCATCACAACAGCCTCTATAAACATGTCTCCAGTCAGAATTCACAGTCTCGCCACCAAGAAGAGTCCAGAAATGCAGCAATTGTGTGAGAAGTGATACAATTTAAACTGCTAGAAGGAAGTAGGAACCTATTCAAAGAAAAGGAAAGAAGTATGAGGAGGCAGCAATCTTTGCAGGAGCCCCCCCCCCCCGACAATAAACAAGGTCAGGATGGAGGGCCTACCTCTCCCCTCAGCATGCAGAGATAGAGCAGAAATGCCAGGAGGAAGGTATGGACTTGAAATGGAACCAGAAAGCTGAGAGAAGCAAGGAGGTAAAGAGAAGGAGAACTGTCAGGACACTTAAAAAGTGAGCAGCTTTGGGAAACAGAGATAAGAGGGTGGTGCCCTTTAAAGCAGCTTCAAGAAAAAGGTGAGAGGAGAAAAGGGATTTGAAGGAAAAGCCCTCACACTTAGAGTGAACAGGAAGAAACAGAAAAAGAAATAGAGACTTCAGAGTCAGGGTTGGGGACAAAAAGTGCAGGTGATGAACCTGTACAGCATAAGGAAAGTAGAAACTCAACAATACAGCTGCAAATAAAACATTTTAAATGTGTTTTAAGTGTGATAAAAAATGTGGCACTAGATGGCGATGGCGAGCCTTATGGAAAATTCAATGTATTTTTAAAAACCATTTGAAAAAACTTTTTTCTAAAAAAGAAAGAAATAAAGCATTTTCAGAACATTTTTTATATGTGTGTAGATTCCACCTAGGGACGCGGGTGGCGCTGTGGGTAAAACCTCAGCGCCTAGGACTTGCCGATCACATGGTCGGTGGTTCGAATCCCTGCGGCGGGGTGCGCTCCTGTTGTTCGGTCCCAGCGCCTGCCAACCTAGCAGTTCGAAAGCACCTCCGGGTGCAAGTAGATAAATAGGGACCGCATACCAGCAGGAAGGTAAACGGCGTTCCGTGTGCTGCGCTGGCTCACCAGATGCAGCTTGTCACGCTGGCCACGTGACCCGGAAGTGTCTGCGGACAGCGCTGGCTCCCGGCCTATAGAGTGAGATGAGCGCACAACCCTAGAGTCTGGCAAGACTGGCCCGTACGGGCAGGGGTACCTTTACCTTTACTAGATTCCACCTAGGCGTATTAAATAGAATACAGGACATGTGAGATAACTAGCCTCATATAACCAACATGCTTAAGTCTAATGCTTAAGTTTTATGGTCTGTGGGTCTTCTACATTGAGAAGATGGATAAATGCTATTTGATTACAGAGATAAGGCCTACTTTGCCTCTGTCTTCACCCAAAAAGAAAGCAGTGTCCAACCTGGTGATAACATAATAAATAATGCAAGGAGGGAGCTGCAGATAGGAAAATAGGTGGGAAGCAGGGACGCGGACTTAGAAAAAATATTGGGGGGGCCCGGGAAAGCTCATGAATAATAAATAAGCTCATGAATATGCAAATAAAGTGGCTCCGGCCCTAAATAGGGCAAGCCACGCCCCCCCAGCCAGCCGATTGGCTGGCTGGGAGGTGTGGCCAGTCGGGATTCCCCTGTTCTCGCGGGATTTCCGGCCGGGGCTCTCCGATTAGGGCGCGCGGCTGGCTGGCTGGCGAAGGAGCAGGTGGGGAGGAGGCGGGGGATGGCGGCGGCGCTCTGCTGGAAGGGCGCCCGCCCGAGATTATTGGGGGGGCTGAGCCCCCCCAAAAAATTTTTTGAGGGGGCTCCAGCCCCCTCAAGCCCCATGGAGTCGGCGCCTATGGTGGGAAGGGAAAACCTAGCTACTTTAAATGAATTCAAATCCCCAGGGTCTGATGAGCTGCACCCAAGGGTACTGGAGGACATTGTGGATGTAATCTCAGAGCCTCTGTCTATAATCTTTGAAATTTTTTGGAGAATGGATAAGGTTGCTGCAGACTGGAGGCAGGAAAACGTTTCCCCATATTCAAACAGGGGGGAAAGGAAGACCTAGGTAACTACTGACCAGTCAGCTTGACAATACCGGGACAGGTCCTAGAGCAAATAATCAACTGTTGGTCTGTGATTACTCAAAAACAAGCCATGCTAGAGGAATCTCATTTCTGTTTTAAATAGAGTTACAAGCATGGTGGATCAGAGGAATGCTGTGGACATAGTGTATCTTGATTTCAGTAAGGCTTTTGACATGGCCGTCTTAAGCATATCTGGCACCGTGGTGCAAAGATCCCTCCAGCGCCCCCCCCCCCGGCCACTCCAAAACAAGGGAGGGGGCTGTGGAAAATGTCCTCCTCCTCCCACCGCCCCTATCCCCGGCATGGTGGCAGCAATCAAGCAGGAAAACATGCTGGTGGACAGGCTCTCCGGAGTTGGGGCACCTGAGAAGGCAGCCCAGGAAGGCTGCAAGCCACATTTCACCAGGAAGCAGCAGGAGGACAACAACTGGGAGCAGGGCCATCTTTAAGAGATGAAGACTTGGGAGGGAAGTGCAACTTCCTTCCTAAGCCTCTGCGGGGATCGCTCTCCTCCTGTGGAGGCTTGGGAAGGAAGCTGCACACCCGCCAGCCATATAGTTGGCGGGCTGCAGCTGGCGGGCGTGCAGGGAAAGGGGAAGCTGCTGGCAAAGCCACACAGCTCCCCCACTCTCTAGGGCGCCCCTGAGAGGCTGGTGCCCTGGCGCAACGAACCACTAAGACCAATGGGAAAGACGGCTCTGGTTTTTGACAAAATCCCCCATGGTATTATTGTGAAAACGTTGGCAAAATGTGGGCTTAATGAGGTAACTGTTTGGTGGATATGTAGCTGGTTGACTGACTGAACCTGAAGAGTGCTCCCTAATGGTTCCTTGTTATGCTGGAAAAAAGTGGGGTGCTGCAGAGTTCTGTCCTGAAACCATTGTTGTTCAATGTATTTATGAACGACATGGATGAAGGAATTAAGGAGATGCTCTTCAGATTTGCACATTCTATTATTCTATGTACTTGAGTCCAAAATACACAAGGATGGTGTCACTATTGCTAGAGTGTATTTGTTGATTTCCTCTTCAAAATATTTGTGAGTTGCAGAGGGAAAGTACTAGCAACCAACTGTGAGCATTTTGAACAAAAACTGGCAAATGAATATGCTACTCACATCTGACAGTATCTTGTACTCAAGTAGAAAATGTGGCATATAAAGCAGCACATAGGTCTGGTGCATTTATTAGCAATGCATTGTAGTTACTCCCATTTCAACTCTTTACTTTGTACGCAAGGGGAGGAAAAATAGGTCCCAAATGCAAATTATTTCATTGGAAAGACAAGGCTGTGTTCAAAATTGTGTGAGTGTAAAACAAAGCAGGACAAAAAGACATGTTTACTACACATGCTCTAGCACTAACACCTCTCTCTGCCAGTGTTTGTAGCAAAACACTTGAGATTTTTGAAAGCCTATTTTCTCCTTGGTGCTTTGTTTCTCATTTCTGGCTTTGCATAATTATATAAAAATGAATTATTTGCTTTGTTTTTTAAAAGGAGATCTGAACAGCAACTCTAATCAAGAACAAAGCATTTAAACCTATATATATATAGACCTCCCAGCTCCTCACCAAAACCTAGTTGGTGCTTTCCTAGCTTTGGAAAGGAAGCTGGAGTGTTCTAGGACCCTGCCAGAGCCCCAGAGACAGCCTCAGCAGAAGTTTTCAAAAATCACAAAACATACAGCAAAGTCAAGCTGGGGATATAGGCTGTTAGAGCTTTTAAACATCCTGTCCTGAGCCGCTTCCCCTTTCTAACCCCTTTTTGAAATGAACATAGTTTGATAAGTTTACATGGCTTTTATTTACAAACTTCCAGAGGTCAGATTCATGCGCTCTATATGGAGCTACCTTTGAAGGTGAATTGGAGTTTACAAAAAATCCAGAATGCAGCAACTAGACTGGTGACTGGGAGCAGTGGCTGGAACCCTATAACACCAGTCTTGAAAGACCTACATTGGCTCCCAGTATCATCATCATAATCATTTTTAATTTGTATACCGCCTTTCTATCTTACAATACTTACAATACAATACTTACAAAAGGCGGTTTAAGCGCTGAAGAAACAAAAAATGTACATCTTATAACAATCTAATGCAATACAAAAATGTGATAATAAAACATAACTTTAAAATAGGCAACCTACATCAAAAATGTAATATTTAATAATAATTAGAAGATTATAAAATAATAAAAAGGTAAAGGTAAAGGTACCCCTGCCCATACGGGCCAGTCTTGACAGACTCTGGGGTTGTGCGCCCATCTCACTCAAGGGGCCGGGGGCCAGCGCTGTCCGGAGACACTTCCGGGTCACGTGGCCAGCGTGACAAAGCTGCATCTGGCGAGCCAGCGCAGCACATGGAACGCCGTTTACCTTCCCGCTAGTAAGCGGTCCCTATTTATCTACTTGCACTTTGATGTGCTTTCGAACTGCTAGGTTGGCAGGCACTGGGACCAAGCAGCGGGAGCGCACCCCGCCGCGGGGATTCGAACCGCCGACCTTTCGATCGGCAAGCCCTAGGCGCTGAGGCTTTTACCCACAGCGCCACCCGCGTCCCTATAAAAATAATAATAATAATAATATCAACACATAAAAGTTAAACAGAAATCCATTCAACAGTTACAATAATATCAAAACTATAAGCAATAAAATGGCAAGCCACAGTACATAAAACAATACAATACACATTGAGAAGCACAGCTCCCTTAGGAGGAGACCCAGGGCCGGACGGTGGGGCAAGGCAGGTGGAAGGAGGCCTTGCCTGGTGGAGTCTCTCCCCTCACAGTTCTTCCTGCAGGCACAGCTCCCTTATGAGGAGACCCAGGGCCGGAGGGTGGGGCAAGGCAGGTGGAAGGAGGCCTTGCCTGATGGAGTCTCTCCCCTCACAGTTCAGGAGGCGGAGGCACTAGCGGCAGAGATGCAGGTGGTAGAGATTCAGGCGGCAGAGGCACTAGCGGCAGCGGCAGAGGTGCAGGTGGTAGAGGCTTACGCGGCAGAGGCACCATCGGCAGTGGCAGAGGCGCAGGTGGTTGAGGGTTAGGTGATGGAGACACCAGCGACAGTGGCAGAGGCTCAGGCGGCGGAGGCACCAGTGGCAGAGACGCAGGTGGTAGAGATTCAGGCGGCAGAGGCACCAGCGGCAGCAGCAGAGGCACAGGTGGTAGAGGCTTACACGGCAGCAGCGGCAGCGGCAGAGGTTCAGGCGGCAGAGGCACCAGCGGCACAGGCGCACGTGGTAGAGATTCAGGCGGCAGAGGCGGCAGCGGCAGAGGTGCAGGTGGTAGAGGCTTACACGGCGGAAGCGGCAGCGGCAGAGGTTCAGGCGGCAGAGGCACCAGCGGCAGCGGCAGGTGCAGGTGGTAGAGGCTTATACAGTGGAAGCGGCAGAGATTCAGGCAGCAGAGGCACCAGCAGCAGAGGTGCAGGTGGTAGAGGCTTATGCGGCGGAGGCACCATCGGCAGCAGCAGAGGCGCAGGTGGTAGAGGCTCAGGTGATGGAGACACCAGCGTCAGCGGCAGAGGCTCAGGTGGCGGAGGCACCAGCGGCAGAGACTCAGGTGGTAGAGATTCAGGCGGCAGAGGCACCAGCGGCAGCGGCAGAGGCACAGGTGGTAGAGGCTTACACAGCGGAAGCGGCAGAGGCACCAGCGGCAGAAGCGCAGGTGGTAGAGATTCAGGCGGCCGAGGCACCATCAGTAGTGGCAGAAGCACAGGTGGTAGAGGCTCAGGTGATGGAGACACCAGCGTCAGCGGCAGAGGCTCAGGCGGCAGAGACACCAGCGGCAGAGAACCAGGTGGTAGAGATTCAGGCGGCAGAGGCGGCAGCGGCAGAGGCACAGGTGGTAGAGGCTTACACGGCGGAAGCGGCAGAGGCACAGGTGGTAGAGGCTTACACGGCGGCAGCGGCAGCGGCAGAGGCGCAGGTGGTAGAGATTCAGGCGGCAGAGGCACCATCGGCAGCGGCAGAGGTGCAGGTGGTAGAGGCTCATCATCATCATCATTTTTAATTTGTATACCACCTTTCTATCTTACAATACTCAAGGCGGTTTACACGCTGGAGTCTCTCCCCTCACAGTTCTTCCTCCAGGCACAGCTCCCTTATGAGGACTCCTAGGGCCGGAGGGTGGGGCAAGGCAGGTGGAAGGAGGCCTTGCCTGATGGAGTCTCTCCCCTGAGGGACAATTCAAAGTGTCAGTGCTGACCTTTAAAGCCTTAAATAGCAACGGCCCTGTATATCTGAAGGAGCGTCTCCACTCCCATCATTGTCCAGACACTGAGATCCAGCACTGAGCGCCTTTTTGTGGTTCCCTCACTGACAGAAGTGAAGCTACAGGGAACCAGGCAGAGAGCCTTCTTAGTAGTGGCACCCACCCTGTGGAACACCCTCCCATCAGATGTCAAGGAGATGAATAACCATATAACCTATATTACCTTTAGAAGACATCTTAAGGCAGTCCTGTATAGGGAAGCTTAATAAGATTTAATGTTTTATTATGTTTTTATATTTGTTGAAATTTGCCCAGAATGACTGGGGCAACCCAGTCAGATGTGCGGAATACTACTACTACTACTACTACTACTACTACTCACACAATATTCACACCAAAAAAGTAATGAAAGGAGGAGTTCCTGCTGTTTCTAACTCAGTTCTCATTTAGTAAACCCATTAATGCAAATTCCAAAGCAAATTCTCCATGTTGCACGCTGGAAAGGGCAGTTGCTTATGGGCGACAGTGTCTGTGACAATTTTATTGTGTAGTTCATGCTCAAAAGTGCAGGCCATGTACCTGGTGACTACAACAACCCTAGTGCTAGGTCCACCACTGCTCTCAACCACAGGATCAGGAATTCCAGGATTGTAGGACAGTGGTGGAGAATCTATTTTTGTGTGCAACAATTCAATCCCCAGCATCTCCAGGAAATATTGGAAATGGTAAGGCTGCCTAAAACCCAAGACAGCTGCTTTCACTCAGTGTCAACAATACTGTGCTAGTTAGAACAATCGTCTGACTTGGTATAAGGCAGGTTCCTATGTTCCTAACATCATCAGCATCATCACTACAGAGTCACAATGGTTCTTTATTAAGGAAAACAGTATGCCCAACAACAAAGAAATGAAAAGCACTATGGTCATATAAGAGACAAATTCTATTAATTTCATGGAACCTAGCAATGCAAATAAGCTGAAGTTCTACTATACCAATACCAAAACCAATTACACATTTCTGTCATAGTTCTTGATAAGGAATTGGTTGCTTTAGGGCAGTGGTGGCCAGACTTGGCCCTCCAGCTGTTTTTGGACTACAACTCCCATCATCCTTAGCTAACAGGACCAGTGGTCAGGGATGATGGGAATTGTAGTCCCCAAAACGGCTGAAGGGCCAAGTTTGGCCACCACTGCTTTAGGGTGTGATCCTTAGCACGCCTGCACAGAAAAAAAGACCTATTGTAATCAGTGAGACTTATTACATAGTAAACATGGTTAGGTTTGGGCTGTATGTTTGCTTCTGTTGTGTTTGATTCATGAATGCACATTTATTATAACAGTTCCAAAGAACTTCTTAACTTAATAATTCTTAAATAATTGACGACTGGCTTGCCCAAGGACAGATATTAACTCAGCCATCAAAGTCTGTTTCCCAACTCATTGCCTGTAGCTGAGTTCATTATGCAAGATGAATCTGAATATCTGTTTTACAGCTCCTAATCCCAGTTCATACAAAACCCCAATTGACTCTAAAGCCAGCAGCAAGAGCTTCACTTGAGTATATAAATATACATACACATCAGATAATATTTGTTAGTATGGAACTTCTGTATCATGTGTAGGCTGCCAGCTATTTACAGCTTTGGAACTTACAGAAAACAAAGATGAATTGCCTTGAAATAATAAATGTACCATATTAGTAATATAAGAATGTGCTCCCTTTGCATTCATAATACTGTGTTGTTAACATCTTTGTATTTAGTAACAATCTAGTGCATTTTAAGGTTTAACTTGCAAGAGGATGTACAGTTCCCTTGATAAATGTTCTCATCTGGTTTTATGAGTTGTGTGATGATTTCCAGTATGTCATCACATGATTCAGTTTTTATGATAGCACCAAGTAATCAAAAATGTACTTTGGCACTTTTAATCCAGTCTGGCCAGAAAGACAAATTGTTTAACCACTTGACTGACGAGTTCAAAGTTGAACAAATGCCCTGCTAGGTAGGACCAAAGAGCCAACAAATCCAGCAAAAACCAGAAGCCTCTGGGAAGCTCATGAGTAAAATGGGGTTTAGATGGCATCCCTTTATCTCATTAGGAGTGTTCACACATTTAATCAACAAGTGTAGAATCTTTGTGCACTTGGGTAGTCAACTAGTTGAGCACCACACTTGTACTTGTCTGATGAGTAGCTGAAAGCAGGTGCAGATGATTTGCACCCAGGTAAAACATAATGTGAAAATACCCCTAGTAATTTGCTCTTAGGATATTCAGAAATATATTTTCTTTGTGAGGCAAGGAAATTGTGCCCCTCATTCTAATTTCATGTGCCCCTTAGGCACCTAAGTAGACCCATGGCCTGATTCCAAAAGCCCTCTGCAAGCAATTAATTCAGGCCTCTGATAAAAGTGACCTGTCTCTTCCCAGCAACCCACTAGGTCAGTGATGGCCAAACTTGGCCCTCCAGATGTTTTGGGATTACAATTCCTATCATCCCTGACCACTGGTCCTGTTAGCTAGGGATGATGGGAGCTGTAGTCCCAAAAAAGCTAGAGGGCCAAGTTTGGCCATCACTGCACTAGGTGGAAGGAAAAGCAGAGCAGAGAGAAAAGAAAGGGAGAGAAAGAAGTGGGTACGTTTTGCTCTGGTCCTTCCTCTCACTAGCTTCAACCTCCAACTCCATGGCTGGCATGAGGTCATGGCCTTGCTGAGGACCCTGATGGAGATGGCAAGGGGGAGGAAAAGGCCATGAATCAGAGCCCTCCTGCCTCAGAGCCGGGCCTCTCCATTGAGACTCTTCCTCTGGAAGTCTCTGCCAGATGGTGGGGGTTGTAGCAGTGGTTGTAGCATGAGTTCCAGAAGTTAATTATGACTTGTTTAAAGAAATTCATTGTTTTTGCTGTTAAGTCCTAAACCTACAGCTAATAGGTTGGGTGGTCCCCATTTCTAGTACAAAGACAGGTGGAGAAATCTAGTTAATTTAGCTCATGAGTCAAAATCCCTTGTTCTTGATCTGGACACTGTAGTTAGTGCAGAATGCTGCAACGTGGTTACTGCTGACAGGAGTAAAATTCTGTCAGCATATAAATTTCTGCTCAGAGATCAGAAATGTTTGCTAGCAGGCCAAGTTCGAGGTGGTCCTATTAGCACATAAAGCCCCTAATGACTTGGGACCAATTTCCTTGCCTTACCTTATATATGTCCTCTTGACCTCTTCGATCTGCGGAAATGGCACTCTTACAGGGGACACACAAAGCTTGTTCCACATTTGTAAGAATGTTTTTGTGTGTTTGTGTGGCAGCACTTGAACTCTGTAAGCCCATGCCTGTTAACCTCTGGCAGGTGCCTTCACTGTGCAGGCAACTGACCATTTACATAGAGGTTGTGTTCCAAGGAACCATGCATGTCAGCAGGAGGTCTGGAAGCCCTCCCCACCCCATTCCGCTCCTGCTCCATACACTTTGGGTGTCAAAAACTAAGGGTGGGTGCTGAACGTGTGCAAATGGAAAGTTGCCTGTATTTGGTTTGGCACCTGCTTGAAATATTTTTGTTTATATAGGCCTAATCAGACATGTAGAATCTTGACATATGTTTTGTTTCTTTTTAACAATTATTATTTTAAATCATTTTTTGAATATTTTTAAATACTTGTTTTTAATGCTAATTTTAATGTATTATTTTATATTTCGTAAACCACTTAGAAGTTGTTGCTTTTTTTCTTATAATCAGACAGATTATAAAACTTGTTAAATAAATAAATAAATAAATAAACAGACAGACAGACATGTGTGATATTTGGGCTTCTGGGAAATACTGTACCATGACCAAGCACCTTTTTACTTATTTCATTTTATAGTTTATCTTTCTATTAAATTTAACAAAAGTCCACTGGTGTAAGAGGAATAAACTACAAAGACTTACCATGTGTGAAAACCTGTACATTCAGAAAACAATCAAATGTAAATGATCCCTACCAGAAATTTAACTTCCAAGAGAAAAATGTTTTTGCTGTATTAGCTTAAGATATATGATCTTAGAGTTCAATGTGTGACGTATTTTTTTAATTAAATTATAATAATAATGGCCACCTCGGTTACACATGACTCTATAAAAGGTGTTCGATAAGAGTCTGGTATTGCTTTGTTAATTAATTTCCTGTGATAAAGCTTACAAATGGTGGCATTTTTCCATGGCATGTTGAACCTACATAATAGGCCATCATTCTAGCAAGACTGTGCAACTATTAACAACAAGGCTTGCTATGCTCACTGGGTTTCTGCTATTAAGATTTTTAATTTAACTATAAATAATATTGACAACACATATTGAGGAGGATCGAATTAAAATTCTACCCCAAAATAATAACCTTGGGCCGATTAAGAAATGGCATCCAGTTCAATCATTAAACCGGAATTGAATTTTAGAGGATATGGCTCCATGATTAGAAATACCTGAACTGGTTTTAATTGCTTTTTTAAGACTGTTGGAAAACTCTCCCCTCAGAATAAGTAGAACAGAAAATGATGCTAGGAATTCTCTGTGTTCCAAATCACTTATTCGCTGGCACAGCAAGTCTTTAGATTGGTCCATAAAAACTTCAATCTTCAAACCAGTATTTCTGGCGAGGAAGTAGTTTGCGGTTTTAATCTCACAGGTGTTCAGTGAAACTTCTGGCTGACTTTTTATTTGTGTGCCCTTGGATGTACATCTAGCTGCAGAATGCTGAACATGTCGGTGAATCTTA